GCACCTAAAACTACTCTTGGACTGCCTACAAAACATATCCAGTATTACAATACAAATTTGCAAATTTGAAAGTTTTCACCTTTGTTTACTGAGAGATGAAAAGAATTGAACTGAAATATAAATTTTCGGCATTGTGTAAAAATGTATTCAATGTTTTTCAAAAATGCCATTCACACAAATGAGGCAGTAAAAAAAAAGAAAAAAAAAGACATGGCAAGAGGCAAGTTTTGTGGTGAAAAATCATATCAGAAATAAGTTTGCCCACAAAAACAAGCCATCACAAGGGCCTCGAATAAAAAAAAAATAATAAAACAGCTTACACTCCAAACTTTACTGCAAAATAAGGAAATAAACATACCGCTCCTAAGAAGTATGCTCTACTTTTCGCAAACATACTACTGCTGCATACCAAACAGCTTCGACTTTAGAGGTGAAAATCCCCAATCCCTTCCATACATCAAAGCACGTCAACCACAGCTGCTTTCATGGGTTTTACGTTTGTGAACAAGGCGATCTCTTGTTTTGCTTTCCTTTACAATCACAAAATGAAGGAAAGGAGAAAGTAGCCAAAGTGAAAAGAAGGTGGAGAAGGAATAAGTTGCTTTCATGTTTTATTCTCTCGAGTTTGTGGAAGATATCAGAGATTTTGATAAAACACTTCTATCGAGATCGAAGAAAAATTAGTTTCACCTCTTCGATTATGCGGGAAATTGTGTTCGATAATTCATTCAACGTTCGGCATTTTGAAAGTGGCATTCTCTGATAATATAATATTTCCTTTCTTTTTAAGCTACTGTTCAAAAATAATTTCAGTAGGGTTTTTTTTTGTTCATTATTGAAGTTCAGACAAAGAAGGGAGCCTTTTTATTGAGAGCGAAATTCATGGATGTAATTTGATGAGTATTCCTAAAAAATTTTTTCTCATACATCCATCTCTACATACATACAGATATATATGCTTTATTATTATATAAAGTTATTTTGCTCAAACTACAGCCTCATGATGGGCAAAGGTACTTCGAATAAGGTTTTTTTTTTCTTTGTGGGGTACGATTGCCAGCTCTACTTCGAATTAGACTGAGCCTGATTAACAGATTTTTTAGCGCTCTGACGCTCGGTGCGACATATTTCGGTTTCGAGTCTCATCGGTGCCATGGATATTTGCAGTGTTTCCGAATCAACTTTAAGTCGTAGGTCCCGGACTCGCATGACTATAGAGCGTCATTGTGCCCAGTCTGGCCTCTCACCCACATCATTCCCGAATTGTGTAGATGCAACTCAGGTCTAAGGGGTAATAGTAGAAGTCGTATTATAACGGGTCCTACGGTTTAAGGTGGATGACGGGCCACTACAAGCAATCATGGCAAGGCTGGGACTTGAACCTCAATCCTGTAACACCCAGCGGCGTTATTTTGTCGCTCTACGGTCATATTTTGGCAACATTGCACCAATTAAATCAGAAGCTACAATTAAACGTGGATTCCGAACCACTCACAAAGTTGCCCCAAGACGATTTCAGAGACACAGGAAATTTGCTTGTTTGGCTATTAGGTTTGTTTTTTCCTTGAACAGTCATTTTTTGCATACTTTTAGCTAATTAGACCCGGACTTACAGATTAATATGGATTTACAACCGCTAACCAAACATCCATGCCACCACCAGCATTTCAACCTGAAGGATGTCGTACCAAAGTACACAGCGCTTGCCAATTGGCCATCAGAACCCACATAAAAATGACTGGTTACAAAGAAGAGATTATGAGAGTTATTTTGAACTATGATCACGTTCCGCCATTATCAACGCAGCTGCTTTTTGGTTTTTGTGTTACACTTAAAACTACTTCACCCGCATACATCATACATAACACGTCAAGTATTACAATACGAAGTTTTGAAAGTTTTCAAATTTGCGCAGGGAAAAATGAAAAGAATTGGACAGCAATATACATTTTTGACATTCCATAAAACTTTATTCAATGTTTTTCAAAAATGCTATTCACACAAATGAGGCAGAAAAAACAGGACAAGGCAAGTGGCAAAGTTTTGTGGTAAAAATCATATCAGAAATACATAAGCCCACAAAAACAAGCCATCACAAGGGGCTCGAATAAAATAAAAATAAAACAGCTTACACTCCAAACTTTACTGCAAAATAAGGAAATAAACATACCACTCCTAAGAAGTATGCTCTACTTTTCGCCAACATACTACTACTGCATACCAAGCAGCTTTGACTTTAGAGGTGAAAATCCCCAATCCTCTCCATACATCAAAGCACGTCAACCACAGCTGCTTTCATGGTTTTTACGCTTGTGAACAAGGCGATCTCTTTTTTTTGCTTTTTCTTTCCTGTACAATCACAAAACGAGGGAAAGGAGAAGTGGCCAAAGTGAAAAGAAGGTAGAGAAGGAATAAGTTGCTTTCATGTTTTATTCTCCCGAATTTGTGGAAGTTGTCAGAGATTTTGATAAAGCACTTCTATCGAGATCGAAGAAAAATTAGTTTCACCTCTTCGATTTTGCGGGGAAATTGTGTTCGATAATTCATTCAACGTTCAAGCTTTTGAAAGTGGCATTCTCTGGTAATACAATATTGCCTTTCTATTTAGGACACTTTTAAAAAATAATTCTAGTGGGTTTTTTTTGTCTCGTTATTAAAAGGCTGACAAAGAATGGAGCCTTTTTATTGAGTGAAGAATTTATGGAGGTAATTTGATGAATATTTTTACAAAATTTTTTCTCATACATCCATCTCTACATACATACATACAGATATATATACTTTATTATTATATAAAGTTATTTTGCTCCAACTATAGCCTCATGATGGGCAAAGGTACTTCGAATAAGGTTTTTTTTTCTTTGTGGGGTACGATTGCCAGCTCTACTTCGAATTAGACTAGGCCTGATTAACAGATTTTTTAGCGCTCTGACGCTCGGTGCGACATATTTCGGTTTCGAGTCTCATCGGTGCCATGGATATTTGCAGTGTTTCCGAATCAACTTTAAGTCGTAGGTCCCGGACTCGCATGACTATTGAGCGTCATTGTGCCCAGTCTGGCTTCTCACCCACATCATTCCCGAATTGTGTAGATGCAACTCAGGTCTAAGGGGTAGTAGTAGAAGTCGTATTATACCGGGTCCTACGGTTTAAGGTGGATGACGGGCCACTACAAGCAATCATGGCAAGGCTGGGACTTGAACCTCAATCCTGTAACACCCAGCGGCGTTATTTTGTCGCTCTACGGTCATATTTTGGCAACATTGGACCAATTAAATCAGAAGCTACAATTAAACGTGGATTCCGAACCACTCACAAAGTTGCACAAAGACGATTTCAGAGACACAGGAAATTTGCTTGTTTGGCTATTAGGTTTGTTTTTTCCTTGAACAGTCATTTTTTGCATACTTTTAGCTAATTAGACCCGGACTTACAGATTAATATGGATTTACAACCGCTAACCAAACATCCATGCCACCACCAGCATTTCAACCTAAAGGATGTCGTACCAAAGTACACAGCGCTTGCCAATTCGCCATCAGAACCAATATAAAAATGTCTGGTTACAAAGAAGAGATTATGAGAGTTATTTTGAACTATGATCACGTTCCGCCATTATCAACGCAGCTGCTTTTTGGTTTTTGTGTTACACTTAAAACTACTTCACCCGCATACATCATACATAACAAATCAAGTATTACAATACGAAGTTTTGAAAGTTTTCAAATTTGCGCAGGGAAAAATGAAAAGAATTGGACAGCAATATACATTTTTGACATTCCATAAAACTTTATTCAATGTTTTTCAAAAATGCTATTCACACAAATGTGGCAGAAAAAAAAGGACATGGCAAGTGGCAAAGTTTTGTGGTAAAAATCATATCAGAAACACATAAGCCCACAAAAACAAGCCATCACAAGGGGCTCGAATAAAATAAAAATAAAACAGCTTACACTCCAAACTTTACTGCAAAATAAGGGAATAAACATACCACTCCTAAGAAGTATGCTCTACTTTTCGCCAACATACTACTACTGCATACCAAGCAGCTTTGACTTTAGAGGTGAAAATCCCCAATCCTCTCCATACATCAAAGCCCGTCAACCACAGCTGCTTTCATGGTTTTTACGTTTGTGAACAAGGCGATCTCTTTTTTTGCTTTTCTTCTTTCCTTTACAGTCACAAAACGAGGGAAGGAGAAGTAGCCAAAGTGAAAAGAAGGTGGAGAAGGAATAAGTTGCTTTCATGTTTTATTCTCCCGAATTTGTGGAAGTTGTCAGAGATTTTGATAAAGCACTTCTATCGAGATCAAAGAAAAATTAGTTTCACCTCTTCGATTATAAGCGGAATTGTGTTCGATAAGTCATTCAACGTTCAAAGTTGCGTCCTCTGGTAATATAATATTTCCTTTCTTTTTAAGCTACTTTTCAAAAATATTTCCAATGAGTTTTTTTTTCTTTTACCTCGTTATTGAAAGGCTGAAAATGAATGGACACTTTTCATTGAGTGCATAGTTTATGGATGTAATTTGATGATTTTTTGTTAAATAAACCTGTAACACTTCTGTACATATTTACACCCCCATACGCATGTGCATATATACACATATATTAATATATACAAATGCACATATACATAAACACATATACACCTAAACATATTTATTTATTTAAATTTGTAATAATAGTTTAATGTAAAACAAATCACATTCACACTATAATGATTATTTTAATAGTTCTTTCTCTTATGCAAGCTATGTGAAGAAAATCAATTAAAATTCTTAATTAATCGAAAATAAGTAAATTTATAAATATATTTACAATAGAGGAGGATATATTTAAAGGAAACCATTTTTGTATTAAAAATATTTTACTTTTTAAAGTGGTATTATCTGGTAATATATCTCCTCGCTTTTTCTTTCAGATAGATTTCAATGTAATTGATCTTTTTGCTTATATATCTTTTTTTGCCTAGAGATCATTATTCTTTTTAATTAGGCAACGGCCGTACCATGCTGAATATACCGGCTCTCCTAAGACACCGAAGATACCGTTAGATCACCGAAGTTAAGCATCATTGGGCGCGGTCAGTACTTGGGTGGGTGACCACCTGGGAACACTGCGTGCCGTTGGCAAATTTGGGACCTGAATGGCCGAGTGTTTAGCGCTTTGGCGCTAGGTGCCACAGGTTTCGGGTTCGAATCCCGGCGGTGCCATGGATGTTTGTAGTGGTTCGGAATCCACTCTAAGCCGTAGGTCCCGGTCTCATTGGACTGTAAGAGCGTTACGGAGCAAAAGTCAGGCTTCTATCTACGGGTGCTCCATCACAACAGAAGCTGCTTCCTTTCCCTTCAATCATGAGTACGTATGGGCTCGTGGGCTTGGCCAGCCAAGTGGGATAAGAAACAACAACAACAACAACAAATAAATTGTTATATTCCAATTGACTAATGATTAGAATACAAGATGAACTTTTCCAAAATAAAATGCAAACTATATACTGAAATATTTTTTTATTTAATGTAAAACGTTAGCTTTCATTAGTTAATTTAATTGCTATTCAAGACGAAAGTTTGAATGTAGAACAGAAAAAGCATATTGCATTTTGTTATTTTGGATGAAAAAGCAAACAAGTACGATTTTTATATGTTAAACCAAGATCACCAAAAGTATCACTTTGACAAATACTTGCAATACAAATAGAATCACTAATTTTGAACTACACTTTTGAAATATCTTAGATTTGATTATTTCAAGTTTGAATTTTTGTTTGGCGAGGGACACAAGCATTAAGATTCTTCTTAGAAAGATTCTACAAAGTTTTATCTATGAGAAATCTTTTATTATTAAAACCTGCAGGGTACCACCATAATAATAAATGACCATATATCAAGAGTATGTCATTTAAAAAAAGAAAGTTTTTCAAACCGATCAATATTTTATCTATTAATAAAAATTAATTAAAAAAAAGTATCAAGTTTCAATATCATGTTACATAATTTCATTACAAATTAAAAGATTAAAACTAAATTCTTCATTTTAGCAATGCAGATGACGAAGCCCATTTATTATCGTATCATCTGAATCATCTATGGCATTATCAGTCAGCAGTAAATAATCCATCATAAAATATCACAATTCCTTAAGAAGACGAATATTTCGAAAGAAAACATTCAATCCAGTGCATTACTGTTAATAAGATATTTATGGAATCCATTTCATCCAATCAAACACCTTAATTTCACGAAACACAGTTCGTAAACACCCCTTCTCCTCGCAATGTGATCAGCAACCGTACTCTAATTGCGAGTTTCAATTCTGGATGTAAAGTGAAGCACAAAAGGTAATTATTTCTCGTCAGGACCTGTTAGCGTATGCTTAATTAAACACGTTTCGTCTCTAATTTCGAAGAGAGATCTCTGCTATGTATATGTTAATTCGAAGCGGAGGAAGGCGAAAAGAATTGCGTTCTTCAATCTATGCGAGATTTCAAATTTCTGTTTATGAGGTAAATGTTTAAATGTGCTTAGTTTTTCGCTCATAGCAAACAAGGGACTTAATTAAAAGATTATCGTTATTGTCTGGCTGCAATTCTGAAGATGCTGAGTGAATAAGAAGAGGTGGGTATACAAAGATTTACGAAGATATCTCGGTGATATTTAAGAGAAAAATATGAATGTCATGTCAGTTTTGCTAAGTTGCATAAAGGAGGTATTGTTGTAACTCTTGAGTTGTAATCTCTAACGTCTTTGTTTCGTTATAATAAAATAAAGCAAATGTTTGGAAAAGCAATTTAGAAATTAATGTAAGTAATTGTAATCACAATTCTTGTTAAGTTAACAATGGGTTTCTTTAACATTTATTTTCTTAAACATTAATACATTAGTATTCGGAGTTATTTATTTATTATTTTGATGTGTTTTAATATTACATAACGAAAAACAATAATCCTATTAATGTATTAAAAATTTTATTTGGAACGATGCAAGTTATAATCGTAAATTAATAACTGCCTAAATGAATAAATTTGTGAAAAATTACAATTAAATTACTTTTAATTACAGTCATCAAAACAAGGCTAATTCAAATTTAATCAGATAAATGCTATATGAATCTTTTCTTGATCCTGCAGTAATTTTGCAGTAGGAATTACATTTAAATTATCTGTGCATGACGATTGTTGTTTTCCACTTCGTTGGTTCTACAAATAACTACATAAGTGTATTGTTGTATGTATTCTTGTGTGTATATATGCACAGTATTTGTTACCTATAGTATCTTTTTTAAAGTTTATTTTTTCTTTTTACATTTGGAGTAGTTAATTCAGTCTAAAACAAAGCTATTAGTTAGACTGATTCTTATTCAAGGAGGCAGCGTTTAAATGTAGAACAGACAATTATTGATGTATGCTTTTGTTTTATTAACAAAACGAGAGAACGATTTTTATCGGTTAGAGTAAGATCATTCAAAGAATTACTCGGACCGATAATAACAAAACAAATTAATTTATAAATTAAAAATTACATTTTGGAAACGTCGTTGCTCTGATTCTTTCAGGTGTGGGATTTTTTGTTTAGAGTGCACAAATATGAAAAGTATTCTTAAGACGAGTCGACATAATATTTATTGATAATGAAAACTTTTATAAAAATGAAACATTTTCTAATTTTAAAATCTTGTGGGTAAAACCACAATAATAAACGATTTAAAAAAGAAATTTTCAAACGGATAGACACTTTTATCTATCAATGCAAATGAATTACAAAAAAAGTATCAATTTTCAATAGCATGTTACAAATTTTATTACAAACTAAAACATTAATATTAAATTCTTCATTTCAGCAATGCGAATGATGAATGTCCAATTATTCTTGTGTACATAATACATCTTAATTCTCTAAGGCTTTATCAGAGGGCAATAAATAATCCATCATAAAATATCGCAACTCCTTAAGAAGACGATAATAATAATATATTTATGGAATCCATTTCATCCAATCAAACACCTTAATTCCGCGAAATACAGTTCGTAAATACGCCTTCTCCTCGCAATGTGATCAGCAACCATACTCTAATTGCGAGTTTCAATTCTGGCTGTAAAGTGAAGCATAAAAGGTAATTATTTCTCGTCGGGACCTGTTAGCGTATGCTTAATTAAACACGTTTCGTCTCTAATTTCGAAGAAAGATTTCTACTGTGTTTATGTTAATTCAGAGCGGGAGGAAGGCGAAAAGAATTGCGTTCTTTAATCTATGCCAGATTTTAGTTTTCTGTTTATGAGGTAAATGTTTAAATGTGCCTTGTTTTTCGCTCATAGCAAACAAGGGACTTAATTAAAAGATTCTCGTTATTGTCTGGCTGTAATTCTTGAAATTCTGAGTGAATAAGCAGATGTGGGAATACAAAGATTTACGAAGATATCTCGGTGATATTTAAGAATAATATGAATGCTATGTCAGGTTTGAAAATTTGCATAAAGGAGGTATTGTTATGAACTCTTGAGTTGTAATGTGCAACGTCTGTTTCGTTATAATAACTAAAGCAAATGTTTAGATAAGTAATTTTGAAAGGAATGCAAGCAATATTTAATTCATAAAGCCTTTTAAATTAACAATTGTTTCCTTTCATTTCTATTTTTGGACAACATAAATTAGTGCTATGTTATTATGTATTATAATGTTGTATAAATTGGATCTTTTTTTTTAATGATTTGTTTTTAAATTAGATAATAAAAAAAAATCCTAATAATCTGTAAAAAGATATCTAGGTGATACAAAGATTGAGAATACAAAGATTTACGAGGATATATCGGTGATATTTGAGAGAAGAATGAATGTTACGTCAGGTTTGAAAAGTTGCATAAAGGAGGCATTGTTTATGAACTCTTGAGTTGTAATCTCTGATGTCTTTGTTTCTTTATAATAACTAAAGCAAATGTAATTTTGAAAGGAAAGCAAACAATATTTAATTCATAATTCCTTTTAAATTAACAATTGTTTACTTTGATAATATTTTTTTCATAAAACATGATAAATTAGTATTAGAATAAATTTTTTCATGTTTTGCTTTTATATTACTTAAAAACACAATCCTAAAGTTTATAAAACATTACATTTTGAATGGTTCAAGTTATGAACGTAAATTACTAATTGCTTAATTGTATAACTTTGTGAAAAATTAAAATTACTTTACTTTTATTTAAATTCATAAAGACAACGCTAATTCTGATTAAAATCAATTAAATGTTCTATCAATCATTTTGTTGTCTTGTAGTAATTGTGCAGTAATGATTTCATTTTAATTTCCAGTGTAAATAATAGACAGTTCTTTTTAATTTTGTTGATTCTACAAATAATTACATCCACGTATTGTTCTAAGTAATTTGTGTATGTACTATTGTATGCATGCATATGTAGTTACCTACATTACATATATATAAAAGCTTTTTTTTACAATTGAAGTTATTAATGATGTCTATAACGTAGCTATTAATTAAGCTAATTTTCATTGGAGTTGGTCGCGCTTGAATGTAGAAAAGAAAATTCATGATATATACTTTTTTTTCTAAATAACAAAATGCGAGTACGATATATATTGGTTAAACTAAAATCACCAATATTATAAATCGGACAAATAATTACACAAATTGAAGACAAATTATTAACTGCATATTGGAAATATATATGATCTGATTATCTCAAGTTTGGATTCTTTTTCTGCATGCGACAAAAAAAAAATAATATTCTTCTTAGAAAGATTCTACAAAATTTTCAGTAATGATACATTATTTTTTTCAAAATCTGCTGGGTACCATAACAATAATAAATGACGAATGACATCATTTAAAAAAAAGCTTTCAAACAGATGGACACTTTATCAATTAATAAAAATTAATTACAAAAAAGTATAGAGGTTCAGTATCAGGTTAAAAATTTTATTACAAACTAAAACATTAAAATTAAATTCTTTATGTTATCAATGCAACCGACGAAGCCCAATTATCCTTGTATGCACAATATATCTGAATCCTCTAAGACGTTATCAGCTATCAATAAATAAGCCATCATAAAATATCACAATTCCTAAGACGACGATAAATATTTCGAATGTAAACATTAAATCCAGTGCACT